TATTTTATTAGACTATAAATTTTCAAAATAGTTTCTGGTTATTTTGATTATTTTAGTAGTGTTCATTTTGACACCTCATTTTTTATCACAAATTTTATTAATTTGAGTTTTCTCTATTTCTCTTCATTAGCTTGACTAAGGGTTTATCAATTTTATTGATTTTTTTCAAAGAACTGACTTTTTGTTTTGTCTTTTTTTGGATTTTTGGTTTGTTTCAATTTCATTGATTTTGGTTCTGATTTTATTTACTTCCTATCTTCTGCTTTTTGGTGTTGATTTGTTCTTCTTTTTCTAGGGCTTTGGGATGCAATGTTAGGTTATTTATTTGGTGACTTTCTAGTCTTCTAATTAATGAGCTCAATGCAGTGAACTTTCCTCTTAGCACTGACTTCATAGCTTCCCAGAGATTTTGGTAAGCTGTATCTCTATTTTCATTTACCTCTAAGTATTTTTTATTTCATCACTGATTTATTCTGTTATCAAGGTCATTCAATTGCATATTGTTTAGTCTTCATGTGATAGTATAGCTTCTATTTTTATTTTATCATTGATTTCTAATTCCATTCCATTATGACATAATACAAAGCATTCTCTCTTTTTCTTTGTATTTGCTAAGAGTTGCTTTGTGGCCTATGATATGATCTATTTTAAAGAAAGATCCATGTGCTTCTGAGAAGAAAGTGTATTCAGTCCTATATGGTTCAAACATTATGTCTAAATAATACTATTTTTTAGTTCTATAATATCTTTGTTAACTTTTGTTTGGAGGATCAATACAGGGTGAGAGAGGTTTGTTGAAGTCACCCATCATTATTGTGTTGTAGTCTGATTCCTGAAATTGAGAAGGGATTGTTTTGGTATACATCAATGCTCCATTTGGGGGGCATAAATATTTATGATTGCTATGTCTTGTTGATATATAATTCTCTTAAGCAGCATTAAATGTACTTCTTTGTCCCTTCTGATTAACTTTGGCTTCAAGTCCACTTTATCTGATATGAAGATAGAGACTCCTACTGGTTTAGAGTTCCTTATGAATGATATGGGGTTTTTTTTTCCTCATTCTTTTAACCTTAAGTCTTTTAACCTTAAGCATATTTTTGCCTATGAAGTGAGTCTTTTAGAGACAACATATTTCTGGGTCTTATTTTTTCAATCCAATCTGCTAGTCTATGTCTTTTGATGGATGAGTTTAGGCCATTTGTATTCAATGTTATTATTGAGAAATTTTTATTCCCTGTCATTTTGATTTCTTTCTGGTTTTTAATTTGAATTAGCTTCTGCTTTGATTGCCTGTTCTTCTAGTGTAGTTCTTCTCTCTGCTGGTTTTCACATTTATTTTTCATTTCTTCTTCATGACATTTTATTGAGTATGCTTTGTAGTATAGGTTTTCTAGTAGTGGATTCTTTTAACTTTTGTTTATCATGGAAGATTTTTATTTCATAATCCATTCTGAAGCTTAATTTTGCTGGACATAGTATTCTTGGGTGGCATCAATTTTCTTTCAGAGCTTGATATATATTATTCCAAGCACTCCTAGCTTTGAGGGTCTGGGTTGAGAAATCATCTGAGATCGAGATTGGTTTACCTCAAAATGTTACTTGTCATTTTTCTCTGGCAGATTTTAAAATTATATCCTTATTCTGTATGTTAGGCATTTTCCTAATAATGTGCTTTGGTGTGGGTCTGTTGCAATTTTTTAAAAAAATATTTGGAGTCCTGCAAGCCTCTGTATTTGAATTTCCATTTCTTTCTTTAGGTTTGGGAAATTTTGTGATATTATTTTATTGAAAATATTGTGTATTTCTTTGGTTTGTATCTCTGAGACTTCATCTATCCCAGTAAATCTTAAATTTGGTCTTTTGAGGTTATCCCACATTTCTCTGAAGTTCTGTTCATGGTCTTTTAACATATTTTCTCTGCAATTAACATTATTTACAAGAGTTTGTATTTTGCCTTCATTGCCTGAAAATCTGTCTTCCAAATGATCTAGTCTGTTAGTGATGCTTTCCATTGAATTTTTAATTTGGTTTATTAATTCCTTCATTTCAAGGATTTCTGTCTGGTTTCTTTTCAGAATCTCTATCTCTTTATTGACGTGATCTTTCACTTCCTGAATTTTCTCTGGGATTTTACTCCTTATATTGTCCTTCACCTCATAGATCAGTTTAACTATGTATGTTCTAAATTCCTCCTCTGACATTTTTTCCAGTGTGGTATCCATGGATTCTATTATTGGAGTATCTTGGTTTGTTTGCGGTAATTTTTTCCCTTGCTTTTTCATGATGTTTGTGTGACTACCCATCTAACAGTATGAATCTGAGGCAGTAGAGTTTCTGTCCTATAAAATTATTGTGTCTATGAAGGTTTCCAGTACCTTGTCATTTAGTGGGATACAAATAATATCAACAACCAATGCAAACAATATACAGCATTAAACTAAATATTTCCTGCTATAACATCTACAATGATAACTGTCACAATAAACAGAAATGATATATGATCAGTTATTGTGTACAATAAAACAGTAAGTTTGCAAAAGGGTTTATAATTTTGAATGGTAGACAGGGAAAGAACAGAAGTGATCTAGGATGTGATGATTATGAGGGAGTAGGAGAATATAGAAGTAAAAACTAATGAAAGTGTAAAAGAAAATAATAGAGATTGCCTGTCAGTGGTAGAAAAGAGAACTTCAAGGGAAACAGGTGAAAGGAAAAATATGTGAAAAATTAAAATAAAAAACATAAAACTGAAATGCACTAAAAACATTACAGTCCTCATAAAACTGATCCGTGAAAAATAACTGGCTTCAATAATGCTAGAAATGAGAAAGATACAACTATGAATGTATATAAATGTCCATGAACCATTAAGATTACACTTAAAAAAATAAAAGAAAAAAAGATATTGATGAAAGTTAAAGAATTGCTTCCATTGGAGTTCTAAAGATTTTCAGTTTCTCTTCTCAGCAGTGTTAGGGGGGTTGTCTGGTGTATAATGCTTGCTCAGCCCTCAGGGTGGGGTTGCTAGAGAGTTAATCCTGTAGGTAGAACTCTTGGAAGTGGGGTTTAGGCTTAGATAGGCTCTAGGCTCTGTGCTAAATGCCAGTTGGTCTGGAGATTTTAAACTAGCATGCTTCCAGGGCCCAGCAATTGCCGTTCCATGCTGGAAGACTGCACCCCATGGATCTCCTCTGGGTTCTACTCGTATAATCGCAGAGCCAAATGTTAGGCCACTATGTCAACTGCAGACCCCACATTTCCTGGTCTTAATTCAGTCACTAAACCCAGTCTCTTCTGTTGCCACCCCTTGAATTTCCAGCCAGGTCCTGCAGCAGCCAGATTGCAGTGGGAGGGGGAGAGTCAGGTGGGTTTCCATAACCAATATTCCTCTGTATAAACCTCTTCACATTTGCTTTTCTCCTGGTAGGAACACTCTATGTCATGCAGTGTGGGTTTGCCAGGCCTGTATTTTGAGGCAAACTTGGGTTTGCCAGGCATCAGTTCCCCCAGTTTCCAGCCTCCACACTGTGGCTGCAAAATGGTTCCTTCCTCTGTCCTCTGCACACAGCTGAGAGAGATGGGGATTCTTTCCTGCACAAGGATATTGTGCAGCACACCTTTCAATTTAGTTGGGTGTTCTCTTTGATTTCTAAACTCTCTATATTCAGACACACCTCAGAACTCCTAAAAATGCAAGTTCCTTTAATTTCCTTATCCCTCCACTTTGCTCATGGAGGGTCCACTCTGGTTTATGCTTCCAGCCACGGCAGTGACTGTGGCCCTCGGATTTCTTCCTTATTTTATTGAATTGAACCTCCCGAGTCCCCTATCTACTTTGAATGTTCAGTATTAAATTCCAGTAAAGTCCCTCCCTGAACTTTTTATTTAGTTTTGGCTCACCCACTTTGCTGAGAAGTTTCCTAAATGCTTTTTTGGTTTCATGCCACTGAGCAGCCAGGAAAACAACCTTCTTTATCCTGTCATCTGGAAACTTCCCTCAGAAATTTTTTCTAATTGACTTTTCTACATTGTTGAATTTTCCCCCCATACTCTTAATTCTTCCTTGTTCTTTGTTGGATCTCCTGAACTGGTCCTCTCTAAGCTACCTCAGTCTTTTTTCTCTAGTTTTAGAGAGACTTCAACTTTATCTTGAAACATTTTTTTACATATTTTTAATTTCCAGAAACACTAATGTCCCAAATGTTCCTTTTAAATATCTTGTTCTTATTCTGTGGATGCAACAATTATTCTTAACTCTTTGAAGATATTGATGGTTTCCTTGATGCTTTAGTTTCTTGCAGACCGATCCTCTGTTGTGTGTTTTGGCCCATATCTTGTGCTCCACTGTGGAGCTAATTGGAAACTATGCTGAATGGGGCAAAATTCTTGATTTTTGAGCTTTACACAAACTGGAATGCTTCATTGGGGTACCCCCAATGTCTGTACTTAAGAAGAACTTTCATGTTGGGAAGTTGGGTTCTCCAGAAAAAAATCTTCCAGCTCCCTGCCTGAGGGTAGAACCCTGGGTGCCAGTGTTAGGAACTAGAAAGAGGAATAAGGTCGAGAGAACTCAGAACCTACATGTACCCAGACTTTTGTGTATATCCATGTGATAGTCTTCACCAACTCTCTGTATAATCCCAATTCACAGAACCTTTGTTTACCTCTTTGTTGAAAGATAATTCAACCTGATTATCTTTCACCACAGTGGTTATATGGAAGGTGCTCTGCTGGCCAGAGGGGATTGAATCTATGGCTCTGTCATGTTTTCAGATTCCAACTATCTTGATGCTCACATGCCTATCTTCAGCTCTACTTCTAGAGGCACCAGTCTTAAGCCTTTGAGACTTTGTGGCACAACCTAGGTTGCTTCTAGCTCCTTTTTACATCCTGTTTCAGGGTCCAGCTTTCTCAGGTCTTAGTCATTTAGCATGAATCCTTTTACTTTCCTGCTTTCAAAATGTTGCTATTATAACCTCTTCTGTTTGCCCTTGTAGACTCATCTCTTCTTAAAAAATACCTTTGACATTTTAGTTGGATTTAGAGATGGAGTGAAGGTAAATGCATGTGTTTAATCCCCATCTTTTAATTGAGTGTTAAGAAAAGTATTTTCAATGTAAATTTGCTCTTTTCCTACTAGGAAAGCCGGGTTAGTAAAGCAGTTGAAGTGATGATTCAGCATGTAGAAAACTTGAAGAGAATGTATGCCAAAGAGCATGCTGAATTAGAAGAACTGAAACAGGTTCTCTTGCAGAATGAAAGGTCTTTTAACCCTCTTGAAGATGAAGGTAATAAAACTTGAAGATCACAGTGTTACATTTTTCTATCATTCTCTTCTTTCATACTCTTACTGTATTGTGTGTTTAGAATAAGGTCCTTAGGTAAGACTATATTGGAAAAATAACTTACTCCTATTATTTATATAGACAAAAGTAAAGTGTCAGAAAATAGATTAGAAGCCACAAAAGATTTCATTGATAATGACACAAAAAATTTACTAAATCAATTTAGATTGCTGAGATGAGAGAATATATTTAATCTACTGTATTGACAGTAGTTGTCTTTTCAGGATATGTAAGAATTGGCTCTTTTTCCACACATAAGTAAGATACAATAGCTTAAATGAGCCACTCTCATCAATAATGATTTTGAATTCCTCAGAGGAGGAAAGATCTTGGTTTTCAAAAAGCCAGCTGATTGGAAAATGGACAGATGAGGCCATGGGAAATATTTTAACATATAGTTTTTATAAATCTTATAATGATTTTTTCATTAAACAGTGTGAACATTTCTAAGTAGAATTCTTATTTTACTGATGTTCCTTCTGGAAATGTAATCATATTTGATGCTCTTCTAATCTGCACTCATGGATTCCTTTATTCAGCAGACAGTCCTTTTATGGCTGCCATGTACTTGTAGGCTTTGTGAACATCTACAGTGACATGGAAGACTGTTTTCCATTGGTGAAGATGGCAATTGTTGTGAATCACCAAACAAATGATAAACGGTTTTTATATTGCTCAATAGTCTCTAGAGTCTTAAATATTTTCTGACCTGTGCTTTACTTGTAAAAAATGAAAACAACTGTTTTAACATTAATCGCATGTGTGATTTCTAACATGTGCAAATATTTTTCCTTGTAGATGACTGCCAGATTAAAAAACGTTCAGCTTCTCTGAACTCCAAGGTAATCACTAATTCACTTGATAAATCATTTAATGAATATATTATAACCAAAATGTCTTTAAAATATTCTTTAAAGTTATGTGCCTTTAAGTGTAAACCACAAATCAGTGATTATATTCATATGCATGTATATATGTGTGACTTTATTTAGATATAGTTTAGAAAGTATGTTTTATACTTCCTGCCTTATTTGGATATCAATCAAGTTTGTCTGGCAATATGAGAAAAGCCAGTTTTGCAATATTTTCTGTCATATGAACCAAATTTGGAAATAGGCAACGTGATAGTAATAAGGCAGACTGACAAAATCCTCCTTTCTTGCTGCTTTGCTACCTTCAGCCCTTGGCTTCATCCTCATGTAAGTTTGCTACTTTAGATCCAGTCACCAACGCCTCACCGTTATGTCGAGTCATTGTAAGGAAATAAAAGAATCAAAGACCAGCATTTCCTCTCCCTGAAAAGACCCTTTTTAAAGTCCACCATGGCATTTCTCTTTCCATCCATGGTGAAAAATTAAACTAGAAAATATGGTTTTTCCTCTGGAAGTTATATGCCTTGTTAAAAAATCAGTCTTATAATAAGGAGAGGAGAACAGGATATTGAAGATTAGTTAGTGGTTTTTACCACAGCTTCAACATTTTGAGCAAGTGACTTTAAATTTTTCCATCTAAATATTTTTCAGAGAAACACAGAAAGTGATCAGAAACCAGGTTGCTCAAACTGGAAATTGATAATCTTGGGGTGCTCAACTAACCAGTGAAATTCAATTACAGATGACAGTTTAAGAACTCACAAGAAACCTCTTAGTTTATTTACTGCATTTAAAATATTTTTACATCTTTTAAGTTGCATTTAATTAAACCACATAATACTAAATATTATTTCCAGCACAAGTCTCAAGACAGATATATAAACACATCTATTCTTTAAAATATCATGAAAACTTACTCTTGTAGAATCAAAAAAACTGTGATCTCACAAAAGTTGAAAGTGGAATGTGGTTACCAGAGACTGTGGAGAATGGGTGAGGGGTGTTGATCAATAGGCACTAAGCTACAGTTAGATAGGAGCAAGAAGTTCCAGTGTGTGGTTGCACAGTAGGGAGACTATAGCTAACAGAAAAGTACAGTGCATTTCAAAAACCTAAAGGATTTTTGAAAATTTTCACCATCAAGGAAGGATGTTTAAGGAGACAGTTTAATCTGATTTAGAAATTACATAATACGTACATGCATCAAAACATTGCTTTTTCTTGTGTATATGTATAATCTTTATGTAACAGTTAAATTTAATTAAAAAATCATGAAATCCTAAGTATATTTTAAAAAATGAAATTAAAGAAACCATAACTGTAGATGCCTATTTATCTCCTCTTGAATTAGGAAACTATTTTTAAGCATAAAAACAAAGATAACAAAACAGAAGAATGCATTTGGCTGGACTAACAATGAAAACATTTTCTTCCATAGAAATAAAACATGAGCAAAGGTCACAGGCATAAACAAGCCATTCTCAGAACAAATATGTACTTCCAACATAGGAAAACAACACTCCATGTTACTAGGAGCCAAATAAATGAAAACTCAAGAAGTTTTATATCCCTTGTCTTATTGGCAAGGATTATAATCAGTATTTCTGAAATTGCCCATAAAAAATCTTTTAGAATGTCTCCTGTTCAACTCAGTAGTGGTTAAGGGTATAGATGTGTATATTACATGCATATGTATCAGTGTTGTATGTAGGAACAAATATTGAGAATTTTCTAAATGTACACTTATCCCCTTTGGGTAGCCATCTTCTCTACGAAGAGTGACTATTGCTTCTTTACCCAGAAATATTGGAAATGCAGCAATGGTAAGTGTTCTTAATCAAAAGCACATTCATTTTTATGTAACAAAATATAACTTCACTAAATACATATTATTGTTTAACATCTGAAATTCTAAAGGTTGCTGGGATGGAAAATAATGACAGATTCAGCAGGAGGTCCAGCAGTTGGTGAGTGTGATTTTTGTGGTTTCACTTTTGGAACCTCACTGTTTTATAATGGGGTAAAGTAAATAAGCATTTGAAATAGTAGTGCAACTTCTAATTTGTCCAGAGCATAAATAAATATAAAAAACTGGCATATGTTGATTTTTATTAAGAAATAAGAGTTTTGCGAATGTGCCAAGAAAAAAATTAGAAAATGTAATTTTTGTTTTGATTTAAACTGTAGGAAATAATTTACAATGGCTACAGATATGTTTATTTTGATATGTGGCTATTGTCTTCTTTGCTTAGGCGTATTTTGGGGTCAAAGCAGAGTGAACACCGTCCCTCATTACATCGATTTATTAGCACCTATTCCTGGGCAGATGCTGAAGATGAAAAATGTGAACTGAAGTAAGTCCATTTACTAACATGACATAAGCTGGGGCATAACAATGGGGACCACAGTAGTTCCATGGAAATGAAATTGATGCTGCCTCAAAAATATAGTTAATTGTGGAAGATTTTTATCACCCCTAAAGCACTCTATGAAAATTATCTGTGAATACATTCACTCTTTTAGCATCACAACGAGAAGGTTTGTGGTTAGAAAAATCCTTAAAATTTGTCCAATTGGCAAAGATCATTTTTTTTTTCCTGTTTAGGTGTTTGTCCTTGGGGAAAAGTCAATAAAGAGCCACAGAAGTAAAATCTTCATCTAATTAGATTTTTAAAAAATTATATACTGTATGCTGTTTAAATACATAAAATGAATCCCACTATCCTGCATAATTACAATGTACCAATTAAATTTTTAGAACATGAAGTGTGTGTGTGTGTGTGTGTGTGTGTTCATGAAAGATAGGAATATATGTGCCTCCATCCATTTATATAAATGAAGAGGAGGGAAATTAAAGTATACTATTGTCTCTATATCCAGCAAATTAAACAAAATATACTGTTTACTTCTATAGTGAAGGTAGAGGACGAGGAGGAGGAAAGTGAAGAAATGCTGCCTCTGTCCTTGGAAGGCAGCAAACTGCTTAAGATTACTTGGTCTTAGTTTTCTCATTTGTTAGTTGAGAGATCTTAATGAAATATTTTATGGTCATTTTGAAATATCTCCCATGGGATTATCCTCAATCCTAAACAATATAAAGACAATCTGACATTGTTGCCTACCCAGATTCTTTTTATTTTTCTAACTCCTGGGAGCCTGTTACAAACAGGGTGGGGAAAAAAGAGGTTCCTTCAAAAGATTGAAAACTAAGTCTTTGTAAACAAAATATTGGTTCATGGAGAAAATTACAATTGATTTTGCCTTTGGGGCCTTGTTTCCTTTATATTTCCTGTAGATGTGTGACTGGAAAAAAAAATTTTAAAATTAAAACAGTTTCCTTTGGCAATTGTGAGGGCATAACATTTAGGATTTAAAAGTTCAAATCCAGCTAGGAACCTTTAGTGAACATTATAATCATAAAACAATTAGGTTTCATTCAGGTGCAGGAAATATAGTCAAGTCATATGCTATTCCCTAGTACATTGAATATTAGTTTAATTAGCTTTGCATTGAAAATATTTTCATGAACATTTTAAGATTTTCAGATAAAGAAATGACACTTCATTTTACTCCAAGCAATGAGAAATTTTTTCACCAAATCTCAAGTGAAAAAAATTATAGTAGGTCATTTATCCTCTTTATAAAGTATTATTAAAGATAATATCTATATCTATATATATCTATCTACATATATATGATGTAAGTTAAGAAAGAAATTGCAGTGATAACATTAGTTATTTATATGTTTTTGTCTATTTCTTTGTTTTGTGTGCCTTGGTTATTATCTCTGCTTTTTATATGAGCATTTACTATTTTTCTATATAGAAGTTATTTTTATCACCAAATTTATAGAAATTTAATTTTTGGATATCAAATCTTCATTAAGCAAGACAAATATTCATGCACCCCTTGAGTTACACAGCAAATCAGCAATATTTTATAAGTTATAGCATATTATAATTAGTTTCAATATTTAAAAACAATATCTATTCACAGAACTAAAGATGACTCAGAACCTCCTGAAGAAGAAATAGTAGAAAGAACAAGGAAGACAAGCCTTTCTGAAAAGAAAACTAATCCATCAAAGTGGGACATCTCTTCCATGTAAGTTGCCTGCTTGCTAAATGATACCACATGAGGGGAAAGGGAAAGGCAGGATCAATAGTCCTAATCCAATTCCTTTACTAAAAGACATACCAAATTGTTCAATATAAGATAAATAACAAACTTAACAAACTTTATATGATCTACTACAATAGTTATCCCTGAACATATTTTACAAGAGGCAGAAGAGTTGACAATGTTAGGAACTTAATTCTGAAACCAGATAGCCTAGGCTCAAATTTCATCTCTCTCACTAGCTGTTTGACCTGGGCAAGTACATCCATTTTAAGCACTGATGTCTCCATTTGGGAAATTGAGATGACAGCAGTACCTATGTCATTGTGTTGTCCTAATTAAATGAACCGTCACCTCTAAGATGCTTAGTATCTTGTATTTCTAAAAAATAATTTTAGTGAGAAATGACATGTATATATACACATATATAAGACCATAAACATACAACCTGTTCTACCAAGTAAATATTTTGGTTCCACTGCAGGAGTAAAAGTTGCTTTACCTGATTGAAAGAATAAGTTGAATATGTGTATGTACTTTTTAGGAGTTAATACCTAAACCACATAATTTCCAGGTTCTCAGCAAAGCATATGTAATTCTAAGGGGCAATGGGGGGGCACATTGTGCCCCAAACCAAGAGGATACATCATAGGGCAGCATTGTAGTGTGGAGGTCAGATCAATGACTTGATTAGTGCTGTTAGCAAAACGAGTGTTTCTAATAACAAATAATTATGCTTACCTATGTCTTTTTGTGTTTTCCTCATAGTTATGACACAATAGCTTCCTGGGCAACAAATCTCAAGACTTCCATCAGGAAGGCTAACAAGGCCTTCTGGATTTCTGTAGTGTTCATTGTACTGTTTGCAGCTCTGATGAGCTTCCTCACAGGCCGATTTTTCCAAAAATCTGTGGATGCTGCCCCCACACAGGAAGGGGACTCCTGGCTATCTCTAGAACATATCTTGTGGCCATTTACCAGCCTCTGCCACAATGGGCCACCACCAGTGTGACCAGTGATCCAGTGACCAGTGAATCACCAGTGTGATGTAGTGCATCCTGATATCTTGATTTTTAATGTTTCAGTATCTGAACTTAATAAATTAGTAACTTTTAGTTGGGAAAGTATAGTACAAAACCAGAAGTTCTTAGAACAACTGTAAAATGTTTTACATTCCCATTTTTTGCAATCACCTTCCCAACTAAACTAAAGGGAGGAGAATTTGCCTATATTTTAATGAGCTCTTTGAGAAAGAAATATATATTGTTTTGAGAAAGAAATATATATTGTTTTGCTAAAACTTATCTAAATAAAGATCCATTTAAATCTTCATACAGTGAAAGCTGAAATTCTCAATAGCCCAAAGAAAAAATTCAATAAAATTTGAATATAAAATACTATTCAATAATTTTAATAGCCTATTTTAAAATTATTCACTTTGAAAAATACCTGATTGTTTTCCCCAAACTTGTTTGATTCTTCACATTGAATAGTTTGCAAGTAGAGATTTAAGAATAGCTGAGAAATCTAATAGAGAGTAGCATATGACAAACAGCGTCAATAAATAGGCAGTTGGAATTATTGATTTTCTCCATTGCTTCCCTGGAAGCAACATCCTTCAACATGTGATATAGAGTGGAATGAAACTCAGTTCCTTCTTTAAGTGCTTCTGAGTATGAATCACTGTTTTCATCCATCTTGAGTCTTTGTGCTCTGTCACCACTAAACATTAAAAGCACCCACTTAGGATTCTCAATAAGCTCTTCAGTTGGTTGTTCCCTTGCCTAAAGAAAATTAGCAAAATCTGTTAGCAGTTCTTCTCTTATTAAGGACTTTTGTAGTTGAGTATTATTTGAATTATTTTTAAACCATGAAACTATATTTATGGAGCTTACTCACATTAATTGAGGCAAAAATATTGAGTGCCTATCATGTTCCAGGTACTGTTCTAGGTGGTGGGGATGTAACAGTGAAATGCAGTGGGGAGATAACCCACATATATTAATAACTGGAGCAACAAACTCTGCCCTCAAGGAGCTTATATTTGAGTGAAGGAAATAAGAATAATAATTTGTGCTAAAATATTCATCAGTCAGGGACTGGGAGTGTAGCTCAATGGTAGAATTTACTTGCCTAGTATGCATGAGGCCCTGAATTTGATCCCCAGGACTTTGACAGATACAGTATATCAAATCCTAAAAGTTAGACAACAGTAAATGTGTCAGTAGAAAGTTAAATTGGAAGCTTAATCCTCTCAGGAGCCTGTGGGAAAAAAATTTTATATATATATATATATATATATATATATAAAATTTATATATATAAATAAAATATATATATATATATATATATATAATTTATTTCCCCAGATTCGTTTTTAGCTAAATTCTTCACTTTCAAGCTTTATTTATGTCTGACCTCCTGAGTCCTCCTTCCCAGCACCCTCCTCAATACTATACACTGCCCAACCCTACTATTCCTGTTTTTTTTCTTTTTACATAACACTTTTCACCTTTTTAATCTCTCTGTGTGTGTGTGTGTATGTGTGTGTGTGTGTGTGTGTGTATATATATATATAATGTTAAAGGCTTTCATTTGTTTTTAAATCAATGTAAAGAGCATTCGCTTAGCACACTCGAGGCCCTGGGTTCAATCCTCAGCACTGCATAAAAACAAATAAACAAAATAAACGTATTGTGTACAACTAAAAAATAAATAAATATATATATATATATATATATATAATATATAATATATATATATATATATATAAAGGTATATGAAGTCATGAACATTTGATACCATAATGGACCACAAAGTCATTACCTTTAAATAGGTAGGTCTTATATTTTTTATTATTTTTGAAGATTGATTTTATTAACCTTTGTAAGAGGAGAAGTCATGTCTACAGTTACCTAGTTTTTGAGTACCTATTTTGGAAAACAAAGTTTTATGGGCTTTGCATACTATACCTTAAATATAACTTTTGTAGTATTACATACTATATTCCACTTGCTCCAACCAAATGCAAAAGCAGAACTTAGCAGGGCCATTTGTCGATAAGCTCTCATTTCTACTGATGGATTCTGTAAATACAAACAGAACTGACCTTGGAGCCTCCCAACAAATCTCCCTTCCATCCTTAACACATAAGGATTCATTTAAAAATTTAAGTCAGATTATATGACTTCTCTATTAAAATTTAACAATGGATTTCTTCCCTTTCTGAGTAGAATCCAAAGTTGTTGATGTCTACACAGGTCCTCTGTGATCTGCCTCTACCACTACATATACGTTCCCATCAGCTATCTGGCCTTATCTCTTCCTCTTCCTTTGCTCTCTCAGTTCCAGGCTCCTTGCTGCTGGTCCAGTCCTGGCTATTCCTTCAGGGTTATTGCTCCAGCTGTTCTCTCTGCCTGGAAGCTGTTTCCCCAGATCCATTTTTAGCTAAATTCCACACCGTCAAGCTTTACTCATGTCTGACCTCCTGAGTCTTCCTTCCCAGCACCCTCCTTGATACTGTACACTGCCCAACCCTACTATTCCGTATCTGTTTTTTTTCCTTTTTACATAACACTTTTCATCTTTTAAATTTACATGACCATCCTATTTTCCTTTCCCTCTAAAAAATATAAGCTTTAAAGGGGAAAGGGGCTTTGGTTTACTCATTTTTCCTAATATTTAAATCAATGCCCCTACCATATAAGTGTTCAGGAAAAAAATTTGACTATTCTGAAAACAAATAGGATACCACATTTGTCATAGTAGTTACTACAGGTAATTTGAGTTAACATTTTTTTCTATGCATACAGTTAGATACCTTTTGCTAGATGAGTATTGCCAAATGTTATATAAATGGCTACATATTTTGTTTACTATTTTCTAGGGTATTCATAAACACATTCTGAAGCATGTAACTCTTCTGCCTACAAAGACATTTATTACAAAGACAATTTATTAGAAGCACTTGTGTCTTCATATATTACAACTGTTTACTAAGCATTTTATTCTAGGAATATGCTAAGTGCTAGAAGAACCAAAATTATTAAAAAAAAAAAAAACAGCTGCTGTCCTCGTGGCTGTCCCAGGTTAGTGTGGAGGGATCTTATTTAAACCCTGTGAGTAACAGAAAGGAGCACATAGACATGGAGGCTCTTCCAAGAAACCAAGGAAAGTGGCTTGGTATATTAAAGGGCTTTTTATATGTTTAATTTTGTCTGTGTTTGAGACAGTGCAGAGTTACTCTCTTAAGAAATCTTAATAGTCATGGAAAAGGAAAGAAAATATGCGAAATGAGAAGTAGCCTGGACAGTTTTTGCACTAAACTGACAGGCCATGATGTACTATACTTGCCAATATGAAGATCATGCTATAGATTTAATTCTTGGGGGAGATTATTACATAATTGAGAAGATTCTGGATGTCTCATTTCTTCACTTATTCTTTCTAAATTTAATCCTGTGTAGCTGAATCTATAAAACTCACATTGCACCTTAGGACTTATATTAAATTAAATATTTGCCAACATTCTAAATTTACGCTACATTAAATTTGGAAAGATTCCTTCATACCTTATTGTTTGTAACAACATAAAAATGAGAGTGTCCCGATGGGAAGATATTCAATCCAGCTTCTTTCAGAGCAAAAATGAAAGATATAGGACTCATCCATTTTCCTTCCAAATTAGAAACATGTTCTTTGTCTTTTATTTTGATTGAAATTAACATGCAGAGGTTTTCCTAATTTAAAATAAGAAAAAGAAAAACTTTGATAGAAAGTGAAAGAAATTACTCCAGTACCATTCCAGGTCCAGTCCTTATGTTCATTCTATAGATTTTTTAAAACCTACCAGTATATTAAAAAGACTGCAGGGCAGGTATGTTTTAGATCTAATCTGAAATGGTACCACAAAGTCCCCATGTTACTTTAAATCAATTTACTCTCTATAGGCTTCATTTGAATAATCAATTGGACTACAAATGACTCAAATCTTCTCCTATTTTATGTTATCATATGAAAATATAAAGTATGTTCACATTGAAATTAAAACAGCTACAAAAGCCAGGCAGGTGCATGCCTATAATCCCAGCTGCTCAGGAAGCTGAGACAAGAGGATTGTGAGTTCAAAGCCAGCCTAAGGAACACAGAGGCACTAAGCAACTCAGTGAGAACATGTTTCTAAATGAAACACAAAATAGGGCTGGGGATGTGGCTCAGTGGTTGAGTGCCCCCAAGCTCAATCCCCAGTACCAAAAACAAACAAAAAAGCAAAAAACTATGAAACCATGATTGTAATTTTAGAGATTAATCTTAATTATTTAACATGTGAAAGTTAATGATGTAAATCCACCAGTTTTAATGTTTGGCAAACTGGCAATTTGAAGTATAGAGTTCACATCCCAAAAGTTTTTTCCTAAAGGTTAATATATCCTATTTAGCTCAATATGTCTAAAATATTTCAATACATAATCAGTATAATATTATTGAGACAATTTGCATTTTTATACTAAGTATTCAAAATCTGATATGTATTTTACAACTATAGCACATGTTAATTTGGACTAATCACATTTCAGGAGCTCAATAGAATAACTAGTCCATTATATAGTACAGATGTACCTTTAAAATCTGACTTGAAAATGCACTCTACAATCCTTGGCATTTCGGCCTTCATATTCAAAAATGGACACTGAAAGTGCTCATAATTTTCCATCAGCCTAGAGTAAGAGTATGCTCAGGAATCTTCAGTGCTGCTGGGATGGCATAAGCACAGTAGCACCAGATGAGTTGGAAGCCCTGACAGGAAGCCCCCATTATAACCCTCTATGCAATCTTAGGAAGGTCACTTAACGTCCTGATGCCTTGGGCCTCAGTTTACCCCATATAAAATGTGATGATGTATCAGAAATATTTTAAGGGCCATTACAGCATTGACAGTCCAGAGTGCTCTCTCATCCCATCTTGTTTTAAAAGCAAAGCTTGATAATATTTTGATTTTTCTACAACACTCATAAGGAAGTCTATAAAGAATCTTAAAAAAACTTCATTGAAATATATTTTACATATCACAAAATCCACTCATTTCACATATAGAATCCAATTATTTTTAGTAGTAAAACTATCACATAAATCAGTTTTAGAACATTTTCATCCCACCTAATAAAATCCCTTACACTAATTTTTAATTAATCTTCATTCTCAGTCCCAGGCAGCCACTAATCCACTTGTGGCTTTATAAATTTCAGGCTGTGTAATTTCTGTCTGATAAGCAATAAGTCTCAGAGGGAGATCCAATCCAAGGGGATTACATATGGTTGGATGATACCACAAGT